CCTCCTCCCATGCCTGCGCCACCCTTTCCGGTAGGTTTCCATCTCGTTCCCATAATATCTCATACCTCCTGTAGCATGGCTTAAAAAATTTCTCTTCATCCTTCTCGCATTTTAACAATACTGGTAGGTGATCCGAACATGGGGACACATGATGTACCACCTTGGCAGACGTGAATAAATTTCTCCACTTGTTATCAACCACTGCTCGGTCCAGCCGTACTTTAACATTTCTATTCCGTCTTTGCTTATTATCATACGTAAAAGGGGGGCCTTGGAAGCCCAGATCCACCAAGTCGCAGCATTCAAGAGAATCCCTGAACCCTACCATTTGATTCTCATTTTGTTGTGTTGTTGCGAAGTGCTCAAACGACCACATGGCTTCATTAAAGTCCCCTATAACGCACCATGGGAGGTCTGACTTTGCCCGCAAATTTTGTAAACTTGTCCACATACGATGTCGGTTTTCCACTCGGGGTTCGCCGTAAACACAAGTAAGACGCCAAAGCGGTGCAGAAGGGGACACACGGACATACGCATCGATAAACCTTTCATTCATATCTTGGACATCAACGTACAACTGATCACACCAAAACAAAGCAAGACCTCCACTAAGACCATTACTGTCGACACCAGCAAAACCTCTCAGACCTAGTCTATTACGCAAACGACGGACTTTTTCTGAATTTTGCCTAGTTTCACACAAGAACACCATCCTCACCTTGGTAGCCTTTACTAAAGCTATCAAATCTCGAACTGTCGGTTTGTTCCCAACACCCCGACAGTTCCAACTCAGACAATTCATTGCTCTTGACGGGGAGCCACATGCGGCCCCGTCAGTTTACCGGCGGCCCCAAGGCTGGTTGCCTCCATGTTCGTACCAACATCCGCCTCCATGTCCTCCTGGTTACCATCATTTCCATTTGAGCGCCCTTGACTCTACCTTTCTTAGCCTTGCCCCCTTCTCCTGTAGTAGATTGGCTCTTATTTATTTTGGCCCCTTTCAGCTCCACGTTCCCATTGCCTTCCTGTTCAGCTGCCCTCTTCCCTAGTACTGAATCCACATCAGCCATAACAGTATCAGCTGTGAACCAAACGGAATAACCAGTGGGCCAAACCCACGCATGGCCGGGATCATGTCCGACGAGTGCATGAATCCCGGGAGGGGTGGTTTGACTGCCAACGGAATTGGCATCGGGATCCTACCGCGCCCCCGCCCAGCTGTTTTTGGCTGCCGGCGTTCCACGCCACGCCCCCAACTAGCATTTGTATCTTCACCTTCATGTATGAGCTGCACTTGCAGGGAACGCACTTGCTTAGCCAACTCCGCATCAATTGCAGGCTCACCACTATTCTCCTTCTCTTCAAACCCATCCCTTGCATCAACTCTATCCGGCACCCAGCTACTGGTATTATACTGGCGTCTGCTGCTCCTGCCCAGAGGCGCACTCCCAAGGTTGGATGATCCCGCGCTGCTGGTAGAGAAGTCAAGGCCCCTAGCCGTCGCCGGTTTGGCCCCAGCTGGAATGCTAGCAGACCGTTCTGTAAATTTTCGCAGAGGTGAACAGCGCAGACGAGACCAACCATTTTGTTACATTGCGAAAACATTTTTCAAAAATGTCACACACATATTTTTGAAACGCTTGAACAATTTTTTTACATGATATGACCATTTTTTGAATGGTACGAATCATTTTTTTGCAAACTTTTCTTACATTGCATAGACATATTTTTAGTGTTATGATCATTTTTCAAAATGCATGATAGCAACAATGCATAAAGGGACCACGTAAAAAAAATGCACAAATGGGCATAATTTTGACAGTGACATCACCTAGATGTGGCAAAACACTTTACATCTAGATAAGCCTTAGACACGCCCTAAAGAAATGTATCGTGTAGATGAAACCAAACAAGAGACAAAAACTATATTCTACTGCTCCCTCCGTACTTCGTTGTTTAAATTGAACTTAAAAAACGTCTTACATTTTAGTAGAGAGGTAGTATATGTTAGTAAAACATTATTATCTTTGTTAATACCTAATCTATTGGTTAGTTTATATGCAACTTCAGTTTTATGTTTCATCATTCTGTAAGCTTATAAACTCTTAGCATTCTCCAGAGAAATGGATGTGCGCGGCAACGCAGGTCATCATCATCTAGTACTTTTTCTAAAGCTGGTCAAAGCCACTGGCTGATTTTTCCCCGACAAGTAAGTGCAAACCCATGTGTCAATCGATGAGTGATGCCACGAAAGGAAGTACGTGAGAAAGCAGGCGTTGATGGGTGCGATGCTCCATCAGGACTCCTCGCACATCTTTCAGCTCGGGAGGGCCGCAAAGTTTGTGTTCATCTCTGCAAGAGCAGAACGAAACCCAATTTGGCTAGCACGGTGCCTACCTGCACTATTAATCTTGGAAGTGTAAAATACTGCTGTTCTTTGAATCGGTTATGACTAATGATCCCCCGTGGCTTTCGCTTGAAGGCACAGCCGGTCACACCTAAACCATCCAGATTAAAGGGGGCTGCAGGTGATTGACACTTCACAGGAGAGAACGTCTTCGTACGGTATAGTCTTGCCAGCTGCTGTGTTCGGCCATGAGGAATCGACCTTTCTCCCTAGCTCTCACCCCTTTTCTTCCGTTAAAGACATCAACGTGCATGCATGGCAATTGACGATTCTTGCTGCGGCGTCCGCTCTTGATGGAAACAAGTGAAAAGTGGTAATGACGCCTGGCAGTAACCTTGAGGCTCTTTTTCGTGGAAACCAAATCTTCGGCTCTTTGCCTTCATGAGTACTCCTCTCTTTCTTCATGAGTTCTCCATGGTTAGGCACAGAGCGAAAAAAATGCTAGCAATAACCTACTAACTCCAGAGATTTGCTTAATAGTCATCGCAAGAAAAAAGCTTAATAGAATTATTTGAGCCTTTTCCACATTTCTAGATGGCTTTGTCCACATTGTTGTAAATACTCAGTTTTAGCTTTAGTATAAAAAAACACCAATACGGAATTTCCTCTCTGCTTCGCCAAAAAAAACAGTGGAGGGGCAAAGTCATTCACTGACGAAATTTCATATTGCCAAATTTTGGTTGATAAATACTATGGTGAATTGGTGATGCTGTAATACTTTATGTCTAGTACCTCATTGCCAAATTTTATCAATAGGGTATTAAGAAAAACACTTTCATCTTTCCGCCGGAGCTTGAGCTCTTTTTTTATATAGCTTACCACTCATGCTAGGTGGTGCCGGAGCTTGAGCTGAGTACGTGTTGAGCATAAGCCGGCTCCAACAAATGGCGATTATATTTGTAACAATTTCTATTTTTTAGTAAAAACAAGTCCCACTGGTTTTACTTTTTAGATTCAGTTGGCTTGCCTTGATTCAATCCGCAAGGTATTCTATGGCATTTTGTATTTTAACCAAAATCAATATATTAACTCCTACTTAAGACGTGCATTGCACGTGTATACATACTAGTATGTTCTAGTATTTGAGCGATCCAATTCGTCTCCAATCGTGTTCCCGATGAAGATCGGCCCTCGACATGGGAGAAGTGAACTCAAAACTAGCTCAACTTTATCCTTGTGTGGGCACAATTTTGGTTTGGAGTTGGAGGCTTAGAGCTATTGAATTTCATGCTTGAATCAATAAAGAGCATAATCAAGAGCCAAGATGTTTCTCAAGGGTGCATGGGAATTAAGTTTACGTCAACAACATGCGTCGGGCATCCTGACCCAATGGTAATCAAATAATTGCAAATCTTCAAAATCTATGTGCAAACATAGGTAAAGAGATGTACAACACCGTAGTTACATATTCTAAATACTAGAGCTGTTATGACAATTTCAGGTTTGAGGTCGAGTATGTATCGGCCAACATCACTTGTAAATAGCATATAGCGGAACCCTTGTTACCTTCTTGATCCTGTACACTTCATGCTCGCAGTTAACATTTGAATGAGTCCTATATTTTCTCTTTATGAAAGGCCAAATGCCATATATTAAGTAGCACATACTCTTGAAAACGCACTTGCAGACATTACAAAATACATCAACTCTTTGGGGTGTCGAAGGCATCTTGCTCCTGCATCCACCAGCAATGCACTGTGAGCAAACCTCGTTGTTGCATCTTGTAGATGTAGTGGACGAAAAATCGATGATGTAGAACAGAAGACGCCGACAGTCACATCTGAATAGCAAAACGTTGCCCCATTGAAGAAAATACCGCAGTTGGCCTGTAGAGCACCCCAAGTCCGGCCAGATGGAGCCGGGAAACACACATCTCACACGCTCCCGCAACAAGACCAAGGCTGAACAACCTTTATCAATCGAAACTAGAGCCGAAAGACCAAGACACACGAGCACATTGTTCGTTCCACGGGACAACGCCAGCAAGACAAACCTTATAACGAAAAATCCAAACCCGAAGAATCAGATATGGGGACACACAATCCAGACACCACCTCTCAATGATAGGAAGCAACACCACTGGAACTAGACCGGGTGGGAAGACCTTATTCCACCTTGGCAATCTTGTCACCGCCAATCGAAGACAAATCCTAACTTTATTCCTAATCCTACCAGCATCAAACCGAAAGTTCTAGGTCCCCGCCCCTTCCCGTCGTCGGGGCGTAAGGTGGAGAGAAAAGGGGCCGCAACCTCGTCGGTAAAGAGATTAGATCAGCAGCCATGTTGGTCGCCTAGGTCACCGGGACAAGGAAGGGGATGAAAATGATTCGATACTCCTGCTAAGCTCACATCAACTATTGAGACAAGATTGGATGATTAACACGCTTTATATTCTCAAACGAGGAAGTATGTTACACAGATATTGCTCAGGATGTGAACAGAAAAAAAAATATGAGACTCAAAACATGCGTGTACCCTAATAAGACGTCGATATTAAAGTAAACCACACTCTTTTCTTAAAGGTAAACCACACTCTTTTAGTAGCACGTACTACTTTTACACACGTATAGTATCTCCAAGTTTTGGACATTGTTCACTGGATGAGGTTGGTAATAGCCGTACAGACAACCGCTATCTGCACCGAGTAGGAGGTGTGCTGCGTGACTGGCGACGGGACACCGGCCTGGGCGAAGGCGTCATCGCACCGGTGCGCGAGAGATGCGGCTTCCCCGGCCTTCTCCTTCCCGGCGGCATAGTCGCGGTTGTTGATGTCGTCCTGCGCTTCGGCGAAGGCGTACCCCATGCTGTCGTACAGCTCCTGGCACTGCCCCAGCGCCGCCTGCGCCCTGGCGTCGGTGCCGTGCTTGGCCAGCAGGTCCTTGATGTCGTAGACCGCGTTGTCGGCGTCGACGACGCCGGTGAGGGCTGCCACCTTGGCCAGGCCCCAGGTGTCCGCGCTGGGGCTGTCGTGGTGCTTGCCCAGCTCCGACACGCAGAAGTCGTAGTCCACGCGCCCGTCGCTGCCGGCCGCCGCCTTGCACGTCGTCACCACCGTTGCGTTGGCGACCCCGCTCGCCAGCGCGAGGATGACAGTGAGCGCTGCGGCCGCGAGAAGACGAGCCGTAGATGCCTTCATGCTCCTTGTTACTTTTGTTTCCGAAGGAAGCGACCAATTAAGTTCGTAGACGCTTCTTGTCTGCTCGGACAGAATTGATATGAGCTAGGTGGACTGACGGACTGAATCTTGTTGCATTTATAGGCGCGGCTAGCTGGAGTGCTGAATAGTACTGCGGATTGGTTAATGGCCCTCAGCTGTTAGACCCAGGCCTATTTGGACCAGCTGCGGTAGAAAAAGGGTCCTGCTAAGATTGGGCTGCAAAACGCTAAAACCATTTGCTCCAGCTTTGAGAGAGCTGTAGTGCAGGAGATTAAGGAGCACTTTAGCAATTTTACTTCTTGTGTTTTTAGTCATGAGTTTAGAACCGCGAACGTCAAGGCCCACAAACTAGCAAAGCAAGCTTTAACTCTCGGGACCGGTCGCCATGTTTGGTTAGTCCACCCGGGGGATCTTTCCTTCGTCCCTGTAAACGTAACGTTTTAATAAAAAGCTTTACGAGTTTGCCTAAAACAAAAAGCTTTGAGAGCATGGGGACGCAAGGGAGAAATGCTAAATGCTAGCTAAATCCTATTTCTGCCTGAAAAATAATAATTAAATCATATTTGGCGCCTTTAGCGCCCGCTACAAGTCTTTCCACTAACGGGCGCATACCCCCCTCACCACGTTGGGCCGGCCCTGTTTTGACTCTTTTTTTTTTCTGTTTTCTAAACTGCAAAAAAGGTGCGCCAGAGCTGGGTCTCAAACCCGTGACCAGTGAGAGTTTAGAGTAAGACACCACGACCAACCCACCACATCCCTTCGTGTGATCGCTTACTTGTTTTCCCGTCTTTTATTTCTTCTTCTTTTCCATTTTTCTTTCTTTTTTCAAATTCGTGAAACTTTTATCCTTCATGAATATTTCTGCAAATCGATGAACTTTTTCTTGAATTTTGATGAATTTTTCAAAAATTTGATGAACGTTTTTCAAATTTGACGATTTTTTTTCAAATTTGATGAACTTTTTTCGAGTTCGGTGAACTTTTCCGAATTTGGTGAACTTTTTTTGGAATTTGGTGAACTTTTTCTGAATTCAATGAACTTTTTTCCGAAATTAGTGAATTTTTTTCCGAATTTGGTGAACTTTTATGAGAGCGATGAACTTTTTTCAAACTCGGTGAACTATTTTTTTAATTTGGTGAACTTTTTTGAAATTCGATGAATTTTTTTTCGTATTCGATAAACTCTTCCCAAAGGACAAGAGTACATACTGTTGCAAACCAGTTCATTTTTTCCAAGAAAACCAGTACGTCCTGTAGCATTTTTTGGAGTGAAGAAAAAAAGTGATCGAGCAGGCAGCTTTTTTTTAAGCAAGCGACACAGCTAGCGAGCAAGCGGCAGGACCCACGATCGAGCGACGGCAGCCAGCCAGTGAGCATTGCTGGGCCAGGCCCATGCAAGCTACACAGCGGGCGCTAAAGGCGCCGAGGAGGAGGTCTCTAAATGCTATTTGGCGTCTTCAGCGTCGTTTTTTTTGGTTCGCGCAAACAGGCGCACACCTCCACTCCGCAATGGGCAGGCCCATTATTTTTTTCTGTTTCTAAACTGCAAAAAATGCGTGCGCGACACCAATGCGAGCTGTGATTCAAATACGTGATGCACGAGACGAGAGTAAGACGGGATAACAACCAGGACACCTCGCTTGTTGTGATTACATATAAATGTTTTTCCTTCTTTTGTCCTTACATTTGTTTTTTTTTTCTTTTTGACTTTTTTCTCTGTCGCTCTTTTATTTTCTTTTTTCAAACTTGTGAACATTTTTTTAATATTGATCAACATTTTTCAAATTTGTTAACTTTTTCCAAAAAACTGATTATTTTTTAATTGGTGATCTTTTTCTTAAAATTGATGAAGTTATCCAAATTTGTCAACTTTCTCTCAAAATCGACAAACTTTTTCAAGTTTGTCAATTTTTTTTCAAAACTGATGAACTTTTTTCATATTTGATGAACATTTTCCAAATTTGTGAATATTTTTTAAAATTGGCAATTATTTTTCAAAATTGTTGAACTTTTTTCCAAATTTCATGATTTTTAAAAAAATTGATGAACATTTTCCAAATTTTTGATTTTTTTTCAAATCCATGAACTTTTTAAAAGAAAGATTGATGAACATTTTTCAAATTTGTGAACTTTCTCAAAATCGATGAGTTTTTGGAAATCAATGAACTTTTTTCAAAACCGATGAATTCTTTCAGTTTGTATGAACCTTTTGAAATATATGTACTTTCTTCAACTTCACTTTTTATTTATTGCGAATTCTTTTTTCACTTTATCTTAAGTAATAAGCATAATAGATTGGGTATATATCCTACATGTTAACTCCTTATTAATTGAACATTTTTTGTAACTGCTTAAAAATATTAACCCAAGACCAATAGGTAATAATTCTTATTAATTGCGTATTCTTTGGAAAATTTATCCGATCGACACA